TGTCAGATGGCTGACTGGACTGAATGAGTACAAGTGACATCAACAGATAGGTGGAAAAAAATCTTACTGGCAGTGAAAAATAGCTCTGTCCCTGTCCTGGGGACATGGTGCCCCTGTCCCAGTGTGCTATACCAGCATATTGGCATCCCTGTACACCTGCAAGGAGATGTGGAACATGTTATTCCACTTGAAGTTCAAAGGGAAGCAGTTTGTGAATGGCTTGTTAGAAGTAGAGATTTTCTTTATTATTTCCCATCATCTCAGCAAGAAAAATTATATACCACTATGCCAGAAAAGAAACCTATTTAAATAAACAATCAGGCAAACAAATATATTTGGCAATATAGGTTTTTCAGTCTCTAAATTTGCTAGATATTATATTAGTCATGAGAGAGAAAAGCTTTTGTTTACAATTAACTTCACAAGTCTGATTCCCAGTGAAAGACAACACACTGAAGAAAGGACTGACAAAAAGTTGTCCTATTTTATAGATTAAGGACAGAAAAAGGAGTTTGTATGGCGCAGCACAATGTGTATCTATTTTATTTACCTTTTACATATTCCAATTATAATGTCTAAGCACTTAGCAAGATGGGGAAAGTGCTGTTATCTGACTGTCACTATAAGAACTACAGCCTGGAGCAAACTGAATGGTTCTCCCATAGAAGAACTGATCCCAGAGATCCCCAGAGTTCCCACATTAACTCTGTTCTCCCTTCACATCACCTTACGTGCACTGTAGCTTATCAGCTGAACATCCTTCCTTGAGTGAGTCTGTAAAATCACCATCTTTTGATCCCTCATCATTGATGAGGGGGATGGGGAAAAATTTTAGGAGAATTGTTTCTGCCAAGAGGAGGAATTAAAAATGGCTCTGTTAAATTTTACACAACTTCTAATTGTGGAGAGGTTTTATTCAGCATTTAAGTACAGAATTCAAGTTTTATTCAGAATGTATTAAAAATTTAAGTGGTACAGCTTAATCCACTTTGGAAAGGAACAACCCAAACACATCTTAATTGATTCATCTTTGTGTGCAGATAAGCTATGAATTCCTCTCCAAGAAATGTTCCTGCTGTTTCAGGTCTGAACATACTCAGGTGGACTTTGTCATTGGTCGATACTCCAGAAGCAACTGGGGTTAGGTGTTTTACCCTTCCAAGTCTGTTTTAAATCACAGATGCTTGGGAGGACAGGAGGACACCACTATTGCACTTCAAGTAGCTTCACTAGTACAAAGAATTATCACATCAGTTGAAGAGGTTACAAAAATCTATTTCAACACAATCCACCTGCAATCTGTTTTCAATTACTCCCTTGAGACTCCTTAAATGTACACGCTTCAGATACTTCATAATAACTGTGGTATTTTACCATCCACTGATGACACCAGGTCTTGTGAATAAAACCTCTGCTGACTACAAAATGCAGGCCATTTAGTGATAGTGCCTCCCTTTGCTGCTACCCCCATTCTGTGAGGAGGTGTTAAGATTCCCATTCTCTGTTTCTTCTTCCCTTTTCCAAAGTCATTATCCCTCCAAAGCCTTGTAAAAGTGCTTTTTATTTTAGATTGCAGACAAGCAGAACAAAGCCAGGTAACTGTCTGTAAGAGCAGGGACATTACTTACCTAAAGGATATATTCTTTTTATACTAAAGGATAGACACTATCCTTCTGTTCCTCATCCCCGTACCCCACCCTGTCAAAAAACCTACTTTGACAATTACTGCTTCTTCCCCCAGAACAGCAAAAGATTCTGTCACTTTCTGCTCCTGAAGCAGTGGCAGTTGAAAAAAAAACAATGACAGGTAAAGGAGAAAAAAATAACAAAGATGGAACAACTTATTTTCCTTTCCTTAATCTAGATCTTGACAGAAAGACCACTAGAGATTCCAGAAGGAAATGAAATCAGGATGAAACCAAGATGGATGTTGAAAGTAAAATAAAGCACTCACAAGTTGGCTTTATATTACTTTTTCTCTCCAGTTATACAAAATACAACTGCTAGCTAAAACAAGCACAAGTTTTTTATGGACTGTCCTGTTTCTTTTTCTCTGTAATGCTTTCTAGAGTGATTTTTAAAAAGTTATTTTGTGGCACAGCTGGTACAGCCTGGCTTCCTACTAACTGCTGCACAGAGCTTTGAAACACACTGTGGAGCTCACAGCCTCGCTCTACATAGAATTTTTTGAGTGGAAGCAGCCCCACGTAGATGCACACATCTAAATACACATGCAGGGTGAAACTGCTTTCTGACATTCCCCTGGGGACCTTCAGCTGACTGGGGATCTGCCTTTGTGTAACATACAAGGATTTCACCTCTTAAGATTTGTACTCTTCAAGACAAAATATTAGAGACAGACACATAATATACTTACAGTACTGGAATACAGATATAATGAGACATGCTAGATAACCTACTAAACATACTTGCTCCACTAATTCAAAGCTTAAGACATACACTGAAAAAACCCACGTTGTTTAAAAAAATACTAAAAAAAAATAAAATAAGCTTATTCCTCTTCCCCTCCCGTGTTTGGTTTTTTTGGTTTGTTTTTTTTGGTGTTTTTTTTTTGTTGTTGTTGTTTTACTTTCTAGAGATGATGCTGCAGGAAATGCTAATAGTAATTAGATTTAAAAAAAAATAAAAATTAGAACCTATTTAGCTAATCAGGATTAAAAAAAAAAAAAGGCATTTAAAAAATAATCTATTTAAAAAATTATTCTAAGAATAATTTTCAACAATATTTAGTATTTAGAAAGTAACTAATTTACTTTCATCTGCAATGTTGTAGCAGTTGTAGTGCTGTCCTGTTCTTCATACTTTTAAAGAGTTTACAGGTGCTGGGAACACAATACACAGATGAGACTGAAAAAGTTACTAGCTGGATCAGACATATCCACAGTTTGTTAGCACTCAGCTGATAAGCATTCTACAAAATTATTTAGAAAATACAATGAAAATATATAGAAGGCCACTCAACAAGCAGAAACACAGATGAACACAAATGTTGGATTACGGTCCACTGACTCCAGCAAGATTTTCCATTTCTGTGCCTGTTTCTCCGTTTATAATGTAGTCAGTGATTTGCAGTGGAATCGGGGACTTCCCTAAGCCTTACCTATCAGACTCCATTTTTGGTTCATGTGTGTGCTGGCTTTGGCTGGGATAGTTAATTTTCTTCATGGGGAGAGTGGCTGAACTGTTGTGTGAAGCTTAGTTGCTGGCTGGTGTCAAACTACCAACAACATGCTAAAAGTTGTAATTGTAAATGGTTTTAATAGCCTGTTACGCAGTCCCGAATATGAGCAGGTATTATATTCATTTTACAACACAAGACATCATGAATAATCATGCACTCCTTTGTAATGTGTCTGTGAAAGTTACATTTAACACTTTATAAACATCTCTGCAAAGTGGAATGTGCTGTAGAATCAAGTTGATGATGCCTTTTGGGTTTTGACAAGGAGACATCCTTGGCCAACTGGTATGGTGTGGCTCACAAGTTTTTCTTGCAGAATTTTCTCTGAATGTCTGAAAACTCCCTGCTCTCAGAAATATTCTTGGAAGGTAACACAAAGCACTGTATTTAAAATGAACTCATAGGAAATGGAGGCAGTAGAAAAAGGTGTATTTCTGCCAGGTAACACAAGACCAAAAAAAAAAGAAAATTATAATTACTACATCCCCAAAAAAGAGTCAGCTAAGGATAAGCCATACAGCTGTGGCTCCTCCGTGGAACTGTGCTTTCAAGCTAACACAACCACTTAGTAACTGAGGGTAACACACAGTTCCTCTGAGTCACACATATAAAAGAAAAGAAGGGCTGAACCAATGTTGTGCTTAAATAGCACATTTGGGTAATAAGCTGAAATAATTATGGCCCCATCACAGCCCTAGTGGGTTTTCCCCCACATCTTCTGGTGTTTGCTAGCATAAGGAGCACAAAGCAAGACTGACTCACAAGTATCAGTGGGATTCAGATAAAAATCAGTTCTTCTTATCTTTGTATTTTGGAGGGATTTCTTCCTGACTTAAATTGTTATTAAAAAAAACCCACAACAAACCAACAGGAGTATAAGAGCACCCTTTGAAGAGTTACAAACATTTATGAAGAACTAATTACATTGCTGATAATTGAAAACAGATTCATTATGAACTCAACATGTGGCACAAAAGTAATTTTATGGATGACGTTATTTCTGCATCAAGCAAACTGGGGAGTGAAAAGCCTTGCAAAGAGTCAAGAATTACGAAACATAATCCCCTAGTATGGCACAACTCAGCAGGTAAGATTCAAAAGACAAAACATTACACCTCAAGACTGCAACAACAAAGAGTTTATTAGAATCAAGAATATATAATCACTGTACAGAAAACATTCAGAGTTGAAGTGTGAAATACTGAACTGCTCACTATGCATTCTGGTTGCTGAGTCTGTTAGTCATGATTTAATTGGCTGCCTACAGCTGGTTAACTTATCAGAACTTAAAAAACATTTATGTAAGGAGGGAAGAAATGATTGTCTTTTCTAAACGGTAACACTGCCCAAGGTGGGAAATAACGGATGGGAAATAATGGTGGGAAATATACAAATTTTATTAAAAACTTACTAAAGGAATAGAGTTGGCGACAAGGCAGTAGAGGAGACTGCCATAGTTTTGCGGTTTTTTCCACACTGAGGAACTGCAACCTTATTGCTGTAGCTTCACACATACTTGTCTTCAGTACAGCAATTATTTTTTTAAATAAGAAAATATATTAACAGGTACAACAATTTACCATCATATCCAGCCTCTTCCAGTTATCTTTGGCTTGAAAGGAAGTTGCTTACTTCAACCTTGAGACTCAGAAGTTTTCACTGGAGAGAAATGCCAGAGTATCTGAGCCGCAGGGATGGTATCAACAAACATTTTCCTATGAAAGGTGGTTGTTTTAAATCTTTCAACAAACATAGACTCAAAAAGCTTCTCTACCTCCTGATCTCTCCCTTCTCCATGCTACCAAACCTGCAGCTTTTGCCTTCCAAAACTGTTTGTTGAAGTCCACAAGGGCTTGAGAAAGTCTCTTTCTTGAGCATTTGCTTGTTTCCACAACATGTAGGCAGAAGGCTTATTTTCTCCAATACTAAAAGAAACAAAAAAAAACAACCACATAGCACAGTATTTATACAACTTTGTTTACTCTCAAAACCCAAAACTTCTGTGTAAATTGAACTCAGTGTTTAAAAACATGGTGAAATGCCTAAAGGCATGTGATTTCCACAACCCTGTAGGAGAACAAACAGCATGGAAACTAACTCCATCTGCCCCTTGACAAATGGTTTCATTCAATTTACGCAATCCTGCTGCTAGATTTTGTCTTTATTTTGGCATCCAATAGGAGAAAAATAGAAGCTTTCCCCAGAGGGAGAAGAACTACAGGTGCATTTTGGGATGCAGCAGAACTAATATTTACATCTTAATTTGAGTTTGTTCCTAAGTAGAGAGCAGCCAGCCCTTAGTAGAACCCCAAATAGTAAACCTACATTTTAAGTGGGACACCTCTCATCCCCCAAGCTTTCCCTTTCTTAGTCACTGCTTAACATGAGCCCTGAATTTAACTGACCCAACTTGTAAATTTACAAGGAAAACAAACTATGAAGCTGTCACTTCAACTGGACACTGTTTCATTCCTCTGCAGAAATAAATAATGCTGTTAAAATTAAAATTACTCTTGAGGGAGAAATGGCTATCCAGACTTTGTAAGTATCGAATAAAATTAGCATACACCTTTGTGGCATTCAGGATGTACAGTGCTTGTCTTGAACAATCCAAGAGATAAGTGATGGACTTTGGTACTCAGGATATCTGTTGTCTGTCTTGAGGCATCTGAGAGTTGACCAACATCTGCTGATGAACTAAAGAGATGTCTCAGCAACCCACCCAACCACCTCCTGACCTGAGAACTGGGGAGTTTAGTGTGGGACATGCTGAGTCCCAAAAGGAGACAAAGGAGTTCTACAGCTGGCGCTGGGAGCAGAATATCCAGTGATAACCAGGCCTTGATATGGAAACCACCAACATTGCAGGACAAGACAAGGAGTGCCAGTCTCAAGCTACTTCCTAGGACTGAAACTCCACAGCAAGAAGCTAATCCTGTGGTGCCAGCTGACTCAGCCTCCTCCTTTGTAATGGCTGATCTCATCAATTAGCCAAACAAAGACTACATAGCCCCTAGCATCATACCTGCCCCTGCTATCATGGAGAAGATAGAAGGATTTTCTCCCTTATGCAGGGAGAAAAGTGGAGGTGCAGTGGGCAAGAACTGTATAAAAATCTGGGACTCTATGGATGCATTGGAAGCACTTTTCCACCAGGAACTACTTCCCCACCAACGACATTGATGACATCGCTGGACCATGGGTGGTAACTATGTTCTCGCTTGCTGTCCTGTATCTCTCTGCTTTCTCCTCTCTTTTCTGTCCCTGTTTTCCTCCCTGTCCTATCCGCTTTAGGGACTTGTTGTGTTACTGCAATAAAAGTTTGTTGTGTGTGTGACATCTGACCTCGTTTGCATCTTAATTTCACCATTTGGGATCACCTTTATAAAAAATTGCCACGTATCCAAATACTGGATCGTGACAACCTTTTTCTGGTCTTCAGCACTATTGTACAACACTATTAATTTATCCTAAATGTTAAATTTATTTTCTCTTCAGACAACTGTTTTTTGAAAACCATTAAGGAGACAAGGACAACATAAAAAGGTCTGTAAAATATCTGGTAATAGAGATATGTTAAAAAGTAAACTAAAGGCTTTATAACACAGCTTTGAACTCAACTCTTTACAATATTGTTATAAAAAAAAAACCACACCCAAAACAAGCTGATGCCAAAATATCTAGACTGCTTTATCCAAGAGCTGTACTTATTACTCAGTGACATATAACAGAATGCTGACACAAAATGGTTACTGCAATAACATACCTTCCCCAAAAGCTCTAAATTGCTGCAGTAGACAGCATAGCTTCCTTGTAGGCCTATTTTGGAGGCAGTGAAAGAACAGATATCTATTGATAACAAAAAAAACCCCCAAACAAACAACTTGTTGAAGGGCATTTCAAATGAAACATTGTGTGGCACTGGGCCAACATCTGCTATTGAAGCGTGTGCCATAGTACTTGGGCAATGTTGTTCTTTGTTTGGTTGTTCTTTTTCAGGTAACTTCTATTAAGAGCAAGGCCACTGGCAATTCTATGTAGCACAGACATGAACAAATGGAAAGCAGCAATTAGTCATTGTGTAGGATGACCCCTTTACAGTAAATTCATTGACACATTAATTGTTAATTTGTTCAACGATTTACAGACTCTGTGAAGACCCCAGGAGCTAATTCTTAAAAGTACCTCAGACAAAAAGGAAAGGTAATGATTTTGACTAATGAAATACTAAATATCACTAAAAAGTGTCCTATCTCACTTGCAGTATAAAGAGAATGTACATTAATGACATTTTATTTTTATTTTAATTTTTTTTTTAAATATATAGAGCTCAGTTCTTTAGACTTGTGAACTGCTGATTAATTTTTACTATTTTTTGTACCCTCCTCACATTTAAAAAGCATTGAGTATTCATGAAGAGGAAAGCCAGCTAGTGTAATTCTTTACAGAACATGAACTAAAACAGTAATCTGAACTCCAAACCTGGCAGAAGAATCCCCCATCACGTGGAGTCAAGAGATGCCTTAAGCACTTACAAAGCAATATACTGCTTTTTGCAATTTAGGCACCCAACCTCAAAAGTACAAAACAAAGCTAAAAGCACAAAGGTAGCAAACTCTACAGCAGAGCTTGAGCAGAGCTCAAGATCTCAAGGAAAACAGCCCAACGTACTGGGGAGTCCAAAAAGGGCATGGAACTCCAGATGCATTTCACCCAGCACTGGGCAGAGGGAAAGAATTGTCTCCCTCCACCTGCTAGCAACACTCTGCCTAATGAGGTCAAGAAAGCTAGTTGCCTGTCTCTCCCACAGGATCACATTACTGCCTCACAGGCAACTTGTTCACCAGAACATTAGCAGTTTCTTTGAAAAGCTCCTTCCTGGATCATCATGCCCCTAATATCCCACAGCCTGTGTTTGTTGGGGTTATTCCTCACCAGTTGCAGGGCCTGGCACTTCCCTTTGTTGAACTTCTGGAGGTTCCTGTGAGCTCATTTACACAGCCTGCCAAGGTGTATCAGCTACTCCTCCCACTTCTGCATTATCTCCATACTTGCTGAGGATGTACTTCATCTCATCACACAGGTCATTAATGAAGATGTTAAACAATTTTGCCCTCAGTAGCAAACCCTGGATACACCACTAGTGATGGGCCTGTGGAAGAAGTTTGTGCCACTAATCACAACTTTTTTATCCCAGCACACCATCCAGTTTCCGGTCCACATCGGTGTCCATTTCTCTGATTATATTGCTCTGGTTTGTGTATAAGGGTATTAAAGAAGGCATGTCATAGCCTTGCAAAAGTCAAGAGAGAATAAAGCTCTCACCCAGTGCACTTAGCTAGTCATTTTATCACAGAAGGCTATCACACTGGTCAGGCATGCTTTCCCTTTTGTAGATCAGTGCTGACTATTCCCAGTCACCTTGATTCTGTTCTGCAGGTGCAAATCTGCAGCTAGAGAAGTCAATTCCTCCTAGTGCCACTGTCACGGTTTGACTCGGGATCAGCAGTTAAGCCAGCCATAGTTAAGGAAGCCTAGGAAAGTTAGGCCTAAGAAAGAAGTTTACCTTAACTCATTTATTCTAGTAATTAAAGCTAAAAAAGTTCTGGGTCCTTCCCTCAGAGCTCCAGCTTTCCACCCAGCAGTTGTAATACGACGAGTAACATCCCACTCAGTATGATTGCTAAGGTGCTTTAACAACTTTTCTGGGGCCACTACGAGCTTGCTCTTCAGTCCTGGCAGCAAGAACATACTTTGTGTTTGCTGGAAAATGAACTAAAACAGCACAAACAGCAAAGTTAAGTCTCAAACTTACCACTCTCGACCTCTCACCTTACTCAGCTTTCACTGAGGCCATCGACTGAAAAGATATCTCACCTGTGCAAACTTGTGTATCTGCTCCACCACAGCTGCAAAGAGGGCATGGACGCTTTCATCAATTAGACTCTGCATATAATGGACAGCTTCTTCATCAGACAGGTCCAAACGGAACTTGTCCTGCACCTGGAAGGGGGAGAAAAAATAATTCAACTGTTAAAACACACTAGATTATCTGAACTATACGATAGCAGACATAATTAGTTCAGTTATGGAAGTTTAGTAGAAAATCAATCTATCTTTTACTTCTAGGTTACAGCACATGCCTATTTTTAACATCTTTAAAAGAATAAGTATTTAAGTAAGTCAGAAACAGCCCCCTACAGTTGATCCCCCCAATTAGTAATATAAATGCTTGAGGTCAGAAAGTCAAGAGAAATACCTGGACATTAAAGTTTAAATAGAATTGAAATACTATGAGAAAAAAATACCCAACATTCACTGAAGAAGAATGAAATGCCACTTGAGAAAAACCACACAACTTTACATATTAAATATTAAAAACACTGGAAGAGTCTGGGTGATCCTAATTATTTTTTAAAGTACCTAAGTACTTCCTTATTCTAAATTTATTTTCAGATAAAACTGTTTTTCAGAAACTGAGAAGCAACTAAGTAAAGAATACAGAATCAGAGGAAGGGGCAAGCAGATCAACCCTGTCAAACTGACCTTTACACAACAGGTGAGATTTTATTAATTTTTATTATATCCACCATCCACGAACAGTTGGTTGGTGTCACTGCTTTTATATTGTTTTTTCTTTTGACAGCAACATATTTTTACTATTGTACCAATAATGGATGTTGTTCAGTACTTGCAATTGGTCTATGAATTAAAATATTTAAGCACTGTAATTAAGAATACAGCAACACTTTGCTATTTCAGCCTTGGCAAAACCTTGAGCCATGAATATTTACAACAGTGCAGGGGATACTCTGCTGTGAATTCCAACTAAGTTCATGGCAATGGTTTGGGACTGCTCCAGATGGCAACATCTCACAAGAAATGTTACCAGGGACCTTCCTTTGGAAATACTCAAAAAACTTCTGTGCATAAAACCAGCAAGACCTTAAACAGATCATTAGGGGGAAAAAAACCAACACAACAACAAAGCAAAACAGAAAGAAGAAAAAAGAAAAAAGCAAAAAAGGAAAACACTGCTTTACAGGAATAAGTTTTGCAGGTATGCTTTTATCTCTCACAACATTGATGACAGGAAGAGGCAGAAACAAGCTCTTTGGATGAGTTCAAATAATGTGAAGTAGGGATTTGAGGAAGTGCTATAGACACCAAAACATACTTTTGTAAGTTTTCTGAAGTGTTGGTTGTGCAGCAAGGTCTGCATATAGGAATGATAAGTGTTTAGATTCTTTCCGGAAAAAAAACCAACAAAATTATCATAATAGTTCAAAGCTGTGCCAGGGGAGATCTAGACTAGAAATTAGGAAGCCTTCCTTTATCACAAGGGTATTACAGCACTGGAACAGGCTTCCTAGAGAAGTGGTCAATGGCCCAAGACTGTCAGAGTTTTAAGGAGCATATGGAGAATGTTCTTAACAACATGCTTTAGCTTTTGGTCAGCCCTAGTGATGATCACTGTAGATCCTTCTCAACTGAAAGTCTATTCTATTTTGTTTTTTGGATAACAACGTTAACCTTAGGTTCTAAATTTATAAAACCATTCGTACTGTTTAAGAACTCTGAAAGTTCATCATGTTTCATAATTAAGGAGTCCAAGATGCCAGCATTCTCTAATCAACCCTAAATCACAAAGTTTAAAACTACTGGTAGTTTCGAAAAGTAGTCCTGACCACATTATGAAAACTGCCCAGCAAATTCACATTACTTGTAGAAAATAATGCCTGTCATCAAACCACATGCTTCATTCTCATATATTTCTAGCATAATGAGCTAGGTGAACTTTTATCAAACACCTTTTGCATCAAGTATGCACTTATAGCTTATCTGTGAGAATCTCTTTTACAGATTTTTATACTGAGACAGAATGCTTCACTGACCACTTTTGCCTATTTAAGAATTGCGACTTACTGCCTATCTGAATTTCCCCAATTTCTATTCAAACAGTTAAGCTCATTAAAACTTTTTATATTAAAGAACGGTCCATCAGAAATCTCTCCCCTGTAGGAAAATACCAAATGACTTGAGTTGTTTCTTAATATTTTTCTAGATTTGGCTAAGGAGACTGACTGTAAGAAAAAATCAAGCCTTTACTGAAAACTTTCCACACATTGACTATTTTTTAAAGCATTGACAAAAAAGTAAACCAAATTATTCCAATAATATTCTTAATAAGGGTGAATTTGTAAGATGACACCAACTTTTCTTCCCATTTTGTATTAATTTTACGCACCAAGGATACTACATATGCAACCACCCTCTCCACAACAGCAAAATATTCTGAGCCATTTAGTATTACTTCACATTCATTTCAAATGCAATGTATTCCAGAACAGCAGCCTTCAGCACTACAACAAAAAGCTCGTTAATCTCCCAAGTATGGAAAGATAATGTTGCTTCACTCAAAATACTGTTGTAACTTTGAGGCTGGTATGTCTGACGTAAGCATAAATCCATTTTTTCCATAACTTCCTCTAAAAAAGATTGATCAATACAAAATCCATTAAGCCAGTAAAGTTCAAACTCTCAAGGATGCAAGTCCCAGGAAGAGATTTAGAAGATACTTCAGGCTAATATTATAGGACTTTTTTCTTCATAACAAACGTGATGAGAAGGAAGTTTATTCTCTCCCAGAGACACATTATAAGTTTGACAGCCAATGATGCACACAGTAGAATCCAACTGAGTTTAATGGACTATTCTCTTGTTTGCAGTTATTCAGAAGCTTAAATACCTCCCCAGATTACAGCACACACTTCTGGCAGATCTATTTTCACACTCACAGAACAGGTGAAGTAAAAAGAATTCAGAAAATTACTCATTACAGTTAGAAAAAATTACTGTAACACTGTTAAACTCTAGTAACCAAGCCCTTCAGCCAATTCCTAATTTGTTCACAGAAAAACTCATGATGTCTCGCAGCTAGTGATATTAAGATGAAACTTCATTCGATGGAATTAATATAAACTCACGTCTCATCTTCCTCAAGAACAGACTGGATTACTGATATATGTGGAAATAAATTTATCCACAATAAGACCTTAAAATCCGATTGCAATTTACACCAGGATCAAGTGCTGTTGAGTACTAGACCTCTGCATGAAATTTTTTTTTAACACTGCAATTAAAACTGCCTGCTGCAACCTATCTGAGAAGCAGCATGCAAAGACGACAGGTCACCTCTTGAGCTGCATCAGCAGCAAGATTAATACACACTGACTTACAATTCTTGTAACAAAACCAATAGTAATTCTTATTTGAAATTTCTGAGTTCCAAAGCAAACCACGTATTCTGAAAGCCAATAGTTTATCACACAGGAGGTGCAATTAGGAAGAGATATTTGCATTGTGTAAACAAAATAAAATTGGTGGGGAGTCATGGTCTGATTAGTTATAAAATCATCTCATTCTACAAAATTGTGAAGAATGGCCACCATAAAGGCATAAAAAATCTGCAAGTGGAATTATTTAAGAGTTCTCATGTTGGCATTTAAATTAAGTGAACTGGTTTAGTTCAGTCGTTAGTGATTGTCAAAAAGAAAAGAAACATACTTGATGAAACTGGTTAAATTTTCACTTTGGTTCCAGAAAGGAAAGTTTAGAACTAGAGAGTCCATGAAGATACCAACATTCAACTTCAAGGTTTCAAGTTGGCCACTTTCTATTCCTTTGCACAGTGGATATTTCACTAAAATGTAAAAGGACTGGATTGCAGTAATATGAAACTGCATGACTAGAAAATTTATTATACTTCCCCAAAATTGGAAATGTCCTTTCAGGAAACTACTGTCGTTTATGACAGAGCTTTTCTTTTTCAAAAGACAAAGAAAGTAAAACTTAAAAGGGGGGGATGGGGGGGTGGGGGTGAGGGGAGAAGCACTTAAGTAAAAATTAGCTGAATTGAGAATGACAACAGGAGAAAAAGATGGTCATCACTACAGAATCACACAGAGGAGGGAAATTTAGCAAGGCAACAAGCTAGAAAAGGAAAAAAATACAGCAAAATCAACATGGAATACTTCTTTGCATCACAATTATGTCATCTAAAATCACATATTTAACAACAAATTCAAGAGGAAAGCACTACAAGAGGAGGAACAGGATACTTAGTAGCTTCCTCACCTTTCAGCACGGAGAAGAAAAACCACAAGAGTGTTTTTTCCTTTTCCCGTTAACTTGTTTGTTTGTTTTCCTGTAACTGATATGTATTAAAGTTCTTACTGCTGCCCCATGCCATGACTTTCTAAGTATCTGGAGAGACTGTAGATTAAAGCATTAACTGAAAGATCCTCTTTTTTTAAAGCAAAGCTGAATTTATACAACTTTTTTTTTTTTTTTTTTTAAATTATGGTTTAAAGCTGCATTTACACATTTCATTTACAATCAGATCACAGTTTGCAGATATATTATTATGCTTTCTAGTTTAAACATAAGAATTAAGGTGTTAAAATATGGGAGGGTGTGGGATGAAAGAACAAAACCAGACATCAATTTTTACTAAACTTTTCCTGAAAAAAACTCCAAACAAATCCAAAACAAAACAAACAACAACAACAAAAAAAACAACACACAGACACCTGGTGAGAGTCAAGTCAAAATTAGAATTAACTTCCTCTCTTCCTCTACTTGCCAAAACCACACAAAACACTTCAACCTTTCAACACTTCAAACTTTCTCAATCTATTGGAAAATACAAAAGCCATGATCATATGATGACACAACCTAATCGGAGCAAACAGTAACTAGAATCTCACAGTTTAAATTCTGGAATAAGTAAACAAAGTCCCACACCACAAATGTTGTTATGGGGAAGCAGAATACTATGAGAGGTAAGACTACTGCAGAAATGAAACTATTCCATGGAAAACAGTGGTATTTCCTACCAAAAAAAACCAACAACAAAAACCAATAACCATCAAAACAGAGCCACAAAGGCACCCCAAATCTTGTTCTAAACATATGACATTTCAAAACTTAATAAATATTTA